CCTTTGTTCCTGACAATCTGTTCAAACAGTCATGAAAGATGAATATGGGATTTCTCTTCATAGCAAAGGACAGTTAAGCAGACAGCCCTTTATAAAATATTCAGAACCCCTAAATCCAGTGTTCCTGATGTATAATGCAACCTATTGTTCTATTTTTGTTGCTTAGTGGAAATTGGGGTTTGGGGAACTGATGAAATGCTAATACTCTGGCTACTGCTATTGTTATGAGTAATAAAGTGCTTGGTGTTTGACCCAGGAATCCCATGCTCTGATAGCATCCATAAAATTGTCTTAGATTAGCATGTTAGGTTACAAATAAAATCTCAGATTCTTCATAGTTCTTGACAACTGATATTAGCTTTTTCCTCCACTCTGAACTCTGAGTGCAGTGTAGATAATCTGTAGTCTTCTTCCATGCTATTTGCCACACTTTCTTGAGTCAGTATGTCTTCAACTTGCTTTGAAACTACAGTACTACTTTCTTCTCTATCAAAACAATCTCAGCCTGAACTCTCATCATTTCTAACACCTTAATCACTTTCTAGTCCATTATTTCTGTCTTATTCCAGACCTCAATCTTTGCCTTCAGACTCAACATACAAAAAAAAAGTGATGGGATTTCAAGACATATACTGACTGAGTCTGAATCCGTGTTTTATGATCTACTGGTTGTGTTACCTTGGGCAAGTTACTTAATTGATCTGTGCCTCAGTTACTTATCTATAAAATTAAGATTTTAATAGTAATTGTTGTTGTTGCTAGGTGCTGTTGAGTCATTTCTGGCTCATAGTGACCCCATCCATAGCAGAACGAAACACTAGCTGATCCCGCACCAGCTCCATGATCCTTGCTATACTTGAGCCCATTGTCACAGCCACCATGTCAATCCATCTTGTTGAAGGCCTTCCCCTCTTTTGTCGACTCTCCACCTTACCAAACATGACATCCTTCTCCAGGGAATGGTCCCTTCTGACAACATGACCAAAGTAGATGAGACGAGTCTGGCCATTCTCACTTCTAAGGAGCATTTTGGCTGCATTTCCTCCAGGACAGATCTGTTAGTTCTTTTAGCAGTCCATGGTACTTTCAGCATTCTTCGCCAGCACCACAACTCAAAAGCCATCAACTCTTCTTCGGTCTTCCTTATTCATTGTCCAGCTCTCACATGCATACGAGGTGATTGGAAATATCATGGCCTGTGTCAGGCACACCTTATTCCTTAAGGAGATATCCTTGCTCCTCAGCACTTGAAACAGTTCCTTCACTGCTGACCTGCCCAGTACTACACGTTGTCTAATGTCCCAACTGCTGCTTCCACTGGCATCGATTGTAAAACCAAGCAATGTGAATTCTTTGACAACCTCAATCTTTTCTCCATTTATTGTGATGCTGCTTATTGGTCCAGTTGTGAGGATTTTTATTTTCTTTATATTGAGATGTAATCCATACTGCAGATTGTATTCTTCAGTCTTCATCAGTAAGTGCCTCAAGTCATCCTCACTTTCAGCAAGCAAAGTTGCATCGTCAGTGTATCTCAGGTTGTTAAAGATTCTTCCTCCAATCCTGATGGCATGTTTTTCTTCATTTGGTCCAGCTTCCTGGATTATTTGCTCAGCATATAGATTGAATAAGTATGGGGAAAGGATACAACCCTGACACACTCCCTTCTTGATTTTAAACCATGTAATGTCCCCTCGTTCCATTTGAATGACAGCCTCCTGGTCAATGTACAGGTTCCTCATGAGTACAATCAAGTGTTCAGGAATTCCCATTCTTGTCAATGTTATCCATAATTTGTCATGATCCACAAAATCAAAATGCCTTTGCATAGTCAATAAAACACCAGTAAAAAACTTTCTGGTATTCTTTCCCTTGAGTCAAGATCCATCTGACAGCAGCTATGATATCCCTTGTTCCACATCTTCTTCTGAATCCAGCTTGCACATCTGGAAGTTTTCTGTCAATATACTGCTGCAACCATTTTTGAATTATCTTCAGTAAGATCTTACTTGCATGCAGTATTAATGATATTGTTCGATAATTTCCACATTCTGTGGGATCACCTTTCTTTGGAATGGGTACAAATATGGATCTCTTCCAGTCAGTTGGCCAGGTAGCTGTCTTCCAAATCTCTTGGCATAACCAAGTGAGTGCCACCAGCGTTTGTTGACATATCTCAGTGGATATTCCATCAATTCCTGGAGCCTTGTTCTTCGCCTATTCCTTCATTGCAGCTTCAACTTCCTCCTTTTGGTACAGCGACTCTGTGTATTCCTTACATCTTATTTTGATGTTTCCTGTATCATTCAATATTTTGCCCATAGAATCTTTCAATATCGCAACTCAAGGCTTAAATTTTTTCCTCAATTCTTTCAGCTTGAGAAATGCCAAGTGTGTTTTTCCCGTTTGGTTTTCTAACTCCAGGTTTTTGCACATTTCATTATAGTAATTGGCTTTGTCTACTTGAGCTGCTCTTTGAAATCTTCTTTTCAGCTCTTTTGTCTTGTCATTTCTTCCATTTGCTTTAGCTACTCTTTGGTCAAGGGAAAGTTTCAGAGTCTCTCCTGCATTCCATTTTGGTCTTTTCTTTTCTTGTCTTTTTAGTGACCTCTTGCTTTCTTCATGGATGAAGCTCTTGATGTCATCCCATAATTCTTCTGGTTTTCAGTCATTGGTGTTCAGTGCATCAAATCTACTCTTTAGATGATCTCTAAATTCAGGAGGGATATTTCAAGATCATATTTTGGCTCTCTCAGACTTGTTTTAATTGTCTTTAACTTCAAGTTGAACTTGCATATGAGCAGTTGATTGTCTGTTCTACAATCACCTCCTGGCCTGGTTTTGGCTGAAGATATTGAGCCTTTCCACCACCTCTTGCCAAAGATGTCAATCTGATTCCTGTGTGTTCTAGCTGGTGAAGTCCACGTGTATAGCCACCATTTGTGTTGTTGAGAAAAGGTATTTGCAATGAATAAGTCGTTGGTCTTGAAAAATTCTACCATGCGAGTTCCATCATTATTTCTGTCCCAAGGCCAAATTTTCCTACTACCGGTGATTCTTCTTTGTTTATAACTTTTGCATTCCAGTCATCAGTGATAATTAACACATCCTGATTGCATATTGGTCATTCCTAACACCTTAGTCACTTTTAATAATAATTAGAGTCCCTAAATGGCACACGTGGTTAAGCATTTGACTACTCGCTGAAAGTTTGGGCGTTCAAACTCACCCAAATGCATCTCTGAAGACAGGCCTGACAATCAGCTTCCAAAAGCTCACAGTCTTAAAATGTCCTATTGAGCAGTTATATTCTGCACACAGGGAGCTCTGGTAGCATAGTGGCTAAGACACTTGACTGCTAACCAGAGGGCTGGCGGTTCATACCCACCAGCCACTCCTTGGAAGGAAGATGGGGCAATCTACTTCCGTAGTGATACTGCTTCGGAAACCCAAGGAGGGGTCGCTATGAGTCGGGTTCGACTCGACAGCACATAACAACAACAATAACAACAACATTCTGCACACATAAGGTCATCATGAGGCAGAATCAGCTAGATGGCACACAACTAACAATAACAGCAATGTAATAATTACTAACTCCCAGAGTTTTTTGAGAATTAAATTCTATACATTTAATGCACTTCAAATAATATTTGGTACATAATTAAAAAACAGTAAAGTAACCAATTATGATTCAGCTGAATGCTTCTTGAATAAATATGGTTAAGAGCTAGTCTTGAATTCAGGTTGTCTGATTTATAAACTAACATTATCATTAAGCAAATGAGCAGCTGGTAATTTAGGACTATGTATGCACTTAGTCCTTTCCTAATTAAAAAATCTCAATATTTTAGTAAAACCTGTTATTTTCTTTGTGGAAAAAAAAGACATTTCTATCTTAATATTTTAAAAATGATATGAAAAACCTAGTAATAGGAAAATTTTAAATACACAAGTATACTGTAAAGTTATATGTGTGTGTGGGTATCTATATATAGTACATTTATAAATTTAAAAATAAATTTAAGAAGCCCTGGAAGCAGAATGGTTAAGTACTGGGCTGCTAACTGAAAGGTCAGTGGTAGGAATCCACCAGCCGCTCCTAGGAAGAAAAGATCTGGTGATAAGCCTTTGTATTTTTCTAGGCCTGTTGACAATTGGGGGGGAAAATGCAAAGGGGTAAAGAAAAAGAGAAAGAGCTACATAAACTGATTTTTATTTTCTTACATTTCCTCCCCCTACCCCTATTTCCAAGCAGTTAATCCCCTCTCAAACAGTACAATAGAACAGCTAGACATAAGGGAAAGGAGATAAAACTGGCTAGCCAGTATATTGTTCTTGCTAATCTGCACCATTTACACAAGGGTTAGAAGACTTGTTTTTATCATTTAAACAGGCTTAAAAGCCTCTTTGCAAATGAGATTTAATTCTTACAAAAGAAGGCATTCTAGGCTATTTGGCTAGTTTCTGCTAGGCCAGCACTGGTACTTGGCAGTAATTCTGAAGCTACTTCTTTGGCCACATACAGTATATGCAAAGATTGCTTCCAGCTGCCCAAACTGAAAAGCATCAAGCTGATTAAATTCTTTCCAGGAGGGGAACAGGATGAGGGACAGGTTAAGAGGCCAATAATATCAGATCTTAAACTGTACCTGGGCAAAATCTCCCTTTATGCAGGTGTTTAAAAAGTGGCTTTGAACTTTTAGAGACCTTTGAATCTTCCTTTGAAAGGGAACAGAAGAGCAGACAGCTAATGAAATTCAGAGACAGAAAGGCTTAAAATAGTCTCAAGCTGTGAAGTGAAGACAATCTAAACTCTTTGATTCATTGTTGTACTGAGTGGCATTGGGCACAAGGGCAAACTGCGCAACTAACTCCCCTAGTACAATAGCTAACGGGAAGGAAAGCTCTTCTTAACACAGAGGACAAATTTTGCATAAAAATCTTAGACCTTAACAATTGAAATTATATGATGGATTGTATACATACTATTGTTTTACCTGGCACACCTAGAGCAGATGTTCAGGGTGACCTTGGCCTGAGGTTCAGCAGGGTGAGGCGCACGACCTTGGTTAAATTTGCTCCCAGAGGGTATGAGAGTAGTTACTCCCTCCATTCTTAAATCGTCAAGATCCTCTGTAACAACACAAAAAATTACAGAGAAACAAATTAACTCTAGTAAATTATGCCTCAATTATTTTTCAAATGATCTGTAGATGTGCTTGAAGACAAATTGTATGAGAAGATTTCCAGGAGAAAAAATGGTGAGAGATTGGATATACCAATGGAAAATGGACAGAACAAATATGACAAGAGAATTCTGATCATACCTCAACACTTGAAACTGGAGGTTATCAAGTGGGGTATGCTATTATTAATTTAACCTTGCTTTTAGAATATAGTCCTGGAAAAAGGGTAGGGAGACCACATCTTTGGACCTCCTCTAACCCCACAAGAGGAAGACAGAACCACCATCAATAGCCTAAGGCCTATTCCTGCAAGTCCAGACATGCTTTCACCAACCGTTCCTCCCAAAGTACCCACCACCTTTCTCCTGTGTTCGATAATTCACTGCAGTGGCCACACAGAACTCACAGATTATGGGGTTTATTAGGGAAGCACCAGGCTACAATTAAAGTTCAGGAAGAATGCTCAGTCTCTCTCCCAGCCCACAGTCTCTCTCCTAACAATCTCTCATGGTCTCTCTCCCAACAGTGAATGTCCCTCAGTGTCTCACTCAGCAATGCATGTCTCTTGCATCTCTTTCTCAGAAGTGCCTGTCTCTTTCAGGAGTGCATGTCTCTTTCAGGAGCACGTGTCTCTTTCAGCAGCACGTCTTCTTCAACCAGCAATCAGAGAGAGACTTCTGCCTCTAGGAGGTCTTGTTTTGAGCCGGGCAGAGTGGCCAAACTAACCAATCATAACCTCAGAATTCTAAGCACCTGAGAGAGAGCAGGAACCTCCCAGAACATTGCTTTGTGTTGCGCCCAACAGAAACACCCCAGGTGGATAACTTTTACAATCAGGAGCTCCTCAGTTGCTCACAGCAAATTCCACCACAGAGTTTACAAAACTTATGGCTAGAAAAGCCACACTAAGTAGTTTACTACACCACAAGTCCTTTGCCTGAGGTGATATTAGCCCATACAGGTGTGCTTTTAAAAATATATGTGGCTTTGGGATGCTTTGGAGACAGCGGATTTCTCAACTCTGCTAAAACCCCAATCACAATTGGAGAAGATATTTAAGACACTGATGCACTCTTACTTCATTAAGAAGTAGCTCTTATAAATCTTGAGGCCTATGAGAAATGAAATAAATGGTAGCTAAAAGAAACACTTTAGCAGATTACTATGCCAAGCAAGCAGCTTTAACCAAGATTGTGATTCTAACTAAACCCTCAAGGACAAATCCATGGAGGGATTCCTAAAGACTATTATAAGTATTAACATGTAGCCTCTAATTCAGGAAAAGAAAAAAAACATGGTCACTCATATCATATCTGGTACTGCTAATATAGCCATTTGGTGGCACTAAATGATTTCAAATAAATATTAGCTAAATTTCACCTGAAATGACTCATTATGATACAGAAAAATTGGTTACTATCTTAAATCAACATGCTGGGAATACTTTAAAAGGATAGTTAAGATCATTTTCAAGTTATGTATCACATGTCAACTCTATCATTCTGGAAGAGCTGTAAAAGTGGAACATAGCCAGAAACCAAAGCTTCAAGGGCCCTTTGAAAACTTACAGATGGATTTTATACAGCTTCCATCCTCCATGGTGTTTCACTGTGTTTCAATTATTATATGTCTATTTTCAGGAATGGGTAGAAGTATTCTCTTGGCAATAAGCCACAGCTCTTAGAGTCACTAAATTCCTAGTTGATTTTGTGTTTCCAATCTTGGGAATACAAATTTTTATGTCAAGTAACCAAGGCACACACTTCATGAGAATTAATAAAAAGACCTCTGTAAGGCACTATCCCTTACCCAGAAACTACATTGCTATTAACACTCATAATCAATGGGAAAGATTGAAAGAATGAATGACCTTTTTAAAAGAACATTAGCAAAACTTTTCAAAATGCTTCAGCATCCCAGCAGCCATTATGGTGTATCATCCACATTGTTTATCTCCCTATGAACTAGTAATTGGAAGGCTCCTATGTTTAAGGATTTTACTTTTGATATAAGACACTGCTCTACTGCACATAGAAATGGCAAAATATGGTAAGGGGCTCATATACTGTGCCCAGTCCTGTTACAAACAGGTTAAGATTGCCTTCCTAAACAGCTTGTTTATCATATTAAACCAGGAGACATCAATTGTTGCAAGATTAATCAGAGATAAATTCCTCTTGAACCTCATTGGAAGGAATCTTATCAGGTACTATTAACAACAAATACAGAAGTAAAACTTCAGGGGGTAAATTCTTGGGTTCACATTTTACAACTAAAAAAGCAATCCAGAATTGGCAAAGTTGGAAGATTACTCCAATAGGGACCTTAAACTGAGGATTTTCAGACATCTTCTAAAAGTAGCTGATCTTTCAAGTAGACATCTGACCCAAGACCTTCAGAATAAGCAGATGATCTCAGATAGTCCACGGCTTCCATCCAAGATGTCAGAACAAGACATCTGTCTAAGTCCTAATTTCTTTTTCATCTTTATGCTTACAATCATTCTTCTAAAAAGTTAAAAAAGAAATTAAATTAAGAAATTAATAATAAGTGGAGGTCATTCTTAATTATTCGAGCATTACTGATTCACTGTTTATGGGAATAATCAGAGCAGTGTTCTCAATGATAGGAATCATACAAATAAAAAGAACTTTAAGAAATGTCTCAGTAACTCTAATAGAAACTATTAATGATACCACCCCTGCCATAGATGGAGGATAGCTCAATCCCAAGCTGTTGTCACAAGTAGTGATGGACAATGGCATTGCTCTATTGTTCTTATTGGCTAGTCATGGTGGCATCTGTTTCAATCCTAATACTTTTTCTTGTATTTGTACTTGGATCAATGAAACAAGCAAGGTAAAAAGACTAGCTATCTCTTCTTGAGGAGCTCTGGTAGCATAGTGCCTAAGGCACTGCTAACCAGAAGGCTTGCAGTTCAAATCCACCAGCCTCTGAAGGAAAGTTGCACAATCTACTTCTGTAGTGATACTGCCTCAGAAACCCAAGGAGGGGTCACTGTGTGTTGGATCTGACTCTATAGCAGTGAGGTTTTTTTTTTTAAAGCTTTTCTCATAGTACTCTTGTTATAATTCTATGTTGGATTTAAGGTATATCTGATTTTGTTAAGAAAGAGGAAATTGAATGTTGGAAAGAAGATTCTTGGTTTAAAAGAACCAATCTTTAATGGGCCAGATTGCTATGAATTAGACCTAAAAGTAGTTTCTTTTACTTTCCTTTTGGAGCTACAAAGCATAGCACACTGGCTTATTAATGACGTAAGTACTGACTTATTCTTCATACTGACATGAAGAAATATGTGGTTAATTCTAATCTTGGGAATCTAGACATGTTGGCCACCACTTTTGAGGCCAAAATCTTCCCCTATCACTTGCCTCTGCACTATTTATCTGCTAATGAAATATAGAACAAGAGTATGAAACTTCATGACAATTATCTAAGCATTTGTAGGTTATTTGATATATGTACAGAAGGTAATAAAATGTGAATTTTATGACTATATTTGATGAACAATAAAAAACTCCTTGCCAGAACTCCCCTTTCACATATGCAAATTTAAGTAATGTATTTAATGAGGCTCTTTGAAGATTCTCTAGACACCCTCCTCTCCATCTTGGTAGTACCCCGTTTTTTTTGTTTTTTTTTTTCTCAATTCAGAATAACCACCACAGTGTGAGAGAAAAAGAGCATTCTAAAGTAAGAAAAGGAGCTCTGGTAGCATAGTGCCTAAGGCACTTGACTGCTAACCAGAAGGCTGGCTGTTCAAACCCACTCCTCGGAAGGAAGGTTGGGCAATCCTACTTCTGTAGTGATACTGCCTCGGAAACCCAGGGAGGGGTCACTATGAGTTGGGGCCGACTCGATGGCATATAACAACAACACAACAAAGTAAGAAAGCTTCTGGAAATTCATTTTCTGGTTCAAAAGAGACTTCAGAGTGCTATACAAGCTGAATCTGCCTCCAGCAACTGCCATGGCTTTGGAAGGGTCAGATATAACTGCAAGTATGCAGTGAAATTGGCTTCTACAGCCATAGGAGAGGCCTTGCCCTGTTAAAATGATAGGCTGCTAACTGTAAGGTTAGAAGTTTGAGTCCTCCCAGAGCACCGAGGAAGGTGGGCCTGGGGCTTGGCGGCTGCTTTTTGCTTGGGGCAGCTGTATTTTAAGGCCTGGGCCTGAAGTAGGTGGGCCTGGGGCTTGGAGGCTGCTTTCCATGGAGTCTGCTTTTCACTTGGAGTGGCTCTACTTTAAGGCCAGGCCCAAGGTAGGTGGGCCCAGGGCTGGGAGTTGTTTTTCACTTGGGTGTGGCTCTATATTAAGGCCGGGCCTGAGGTAAGCAGGCCTGAAGTTGTGGGCTGCTTTTTGCTTGGGGTGGCTCTTTATTAAGGCTGGGGCCCAATGTAGCAGGCCTGGGGCTTAGAGGCTACTTTTCACTTGGGGGTGCCTCTATATTAAGGCCGGGGCCCAAGGTAGGCAGGCCTGGAGTTGGGGGCTGCTTTTCGCTTGGGAGTGGCTCTTTATTAAGGCTGGTGCATGAGGTAAGCGGGCCGGGGCTCAGGGGCTGCTTTCCGCTTGTGGATGACTCTACTTTAAGGTCGTTGCCTGAGGTCGTCAGGTGCAGAGGGGTTAGGAACAACTAAGGGAGATTAATTTGTCTGTCATTTATCTTCCTATTGTGGCTTACACATTGCTGTGAGACTGGAGGCTATGTCACTCTGTTGCAAAACGCCAGCAGGGTTACCCATGGTGGACAGGTTTCCGTGCGTCTTCCAGGCTAAGACAGACTTGGAAGAAGAAAGAGGCCATCCACTTCTCAAAGAATTGGCCACTGAAAACCTTATGAAAAAAATTAATATTTATTCTTAATGTTAGTTCTTAATAATTACCATCAGAAGGAAGGGTGGAAAATCTACTTCTGTAGTGATA